CCAGAGAAGCCATCCTTCTGGCTATTAGTCTCTCGAGTCCTTTGCCCAAGCACGAGAGGAGCGCGATCGGCCGCCAGGACCCGGGCTTGGAGGCATCCCTGCCGGCCTTCTGGATCATGACCACCTCAGCTCTGCGGAAAGGCAGAGGAAAGTGGCCGGCCCGCATACAGGACTGGAATAGCTGCCTGACCGGCTCCGAGATGACGCCCCAGCAGGCCTGGAGGAGGCGCGTGGTGATCCCGTCCACACCAGGGGTCGTTGTCTTTGTTAAGGTGGCCGTCTTCACTTCTTCTCCGCTAACATTGTCCTGCCAAGTAATCGCTCGCCTTGGGACGACGGGTACGTCAAACGGATTACCCGGTGCGTCATCTTCCGCACTAAACCTGTCGAGAAGGGCTTCCCGAAGCGCTTGGGCCTTTTCGTCAGTATCCTCGATCGTCTGGTTGTCCACAACCAATGGGGGTGCTCTGGTCAGTGGGCTCGCCTTCCGCCAACCCATGATCTGGTACAGGTCCCGGTCTGAAGCGACTCCATCGATCTTTCCGGCCCAGTATGCTCGCTTAGCCTTCCTCACCGTGCTCAGGAACGCCTTTCGTTTCTCCATTAGATAAAGGTGCGCATCTTGCTCCGTCTCCCAGGCTTGTTGGTTGCGGGCAGCACGGTATGCTCTGTGGGCCTCTGCGCATTCCTCCGTCCACCAAGCCGCGCCTTTACCATGTTTTCCTCTCTTCTTGCCGACCGCCTCAATGGCTCGGGAGAAGAGCTCGACGATGTGACTTGCCTGCCCGTCCAGGTCTTCCGGAGTAGGTTGATCCCCCAGATTGGGCATCGCAGCTAGCCCCCCTTCGATCAGGTCTCTCAGCCGAGGCAGCGCCGAGTCGGGCACTGACAGTGGCCGTGGCTGCGGGTGGCCCTCTCCCTGTGACACTGGGCGTTTGAATAGTGGTATGACGGCCACGATGGCCTCGTGGTCAGCTCCCGGGTGTAGCTGTGGGCTGACCTGCGCGTGCGCAAAAGGGATATTAGAGAAAGCCAGGTCCAGGACATGTCCGCAATCCTGGGTTGCCACCCCAACTTCGCTGATAAGAGAGAGATTGTGGCCGTCTGCCCAGCCTGCAATGTCATCTCCCCGGTTCCCGTTCCTCGTCCCGGGCTCCCAAGAGTAGTGATGCGCGTTGAAGTCACCCGCGATCAAAGCTCGCTCCGGGGGTTTGAGTTCTAGCAGTATCCCTGTTGTGCGGCTGTGGGGGTCGCGGGGTTGTCTGTACACGTTGACGATAGTCGTCGTTTTGTCGACCACCAGCCACAGTACGTCTCTCGTGTGGACAGGCCTCTGCTGCTCCACCGTCATCCCTATCCCTTTGCGTGTGTAGGTCAATACTCTTGGTCTGGTTCCTTCGCTGTCCCAGAAGTCGACCGGGACGAAAGAGTCGAAACCCGGGTGCGTGTTCAGTTGCACGTTTCCGTCCTTCCAGCCCGTCCAGGGTTCCTGGACGAGGACCACATCTATCTGAGCCTCCCAGCAGAGCTGCAGGAAAGCCGTGTGCGCCGGGGAGATCTTTCCGACGTTGCCCTGCGCAACGCGTAGCATCCGTGGGGTCGCCGCTCTCGGCTTACGTCTCCGAGTCGAGTTCGAGGTGGGTGTAGGCATTCGCGACGTTGTAGTTTGGCTTCTGTGCTGCCCGTTGGCTCCTGCTTGGCATGGGTAGCACGGGACGGTCGATGGAGGTGTTGTCGGGGGAGTCTTCGCCTTCGCCTTCGTCCGCCTCGTCTTCATCCATGCTGCTGCTGTCAGTGCTTCCGTCACCGAGGCAAACGATCGAGCTTGCGGAGGGCGTTCTCGTGCGCGCGCGCTTGGCGCCGGGTTGCTGGTTCTGGCTGGTGGAGGTAGGGACGCCTGCCGCCTCCTGGCTACTGTCGGATCGAGTAGCCTTGTACAGAGTGTCCGATGCTTTCTGGCCGGCCTTCCGGATCCGAGCCCGCTCCTTTCGACCGGGAAGGGAGACGACGCCGTTTACGACCGAGGGCCTCGCTGGGCAGTCTGTGTGGCCGGCTTGGAAGGGGCCGCAGCAGTTGGGACACTGGGGCCTGGCCATGCAAGGTCCCGTTTCGTGTGAGTCGGAAGGTCTTCCGCAGTTGCTGCAAGTCGGTCGTCGTCCGCAGAACCGGTTGGCGTGGTAGCCCTGGCAGCCGGGGTCATGTCGGATGAGCGTCCTTCGTTTTTTGATGGGCAGAGATCTGCCGCTTTGGTTGAAGAGCCTGAAGGGCGTGACCTCTGATGTGAATGATATGAGCCAAGATATTTCGTTCGTGACTGGGTTGGGCCCAAGGCGGGACGGTCGAGCAAGGACAGGCTTCTGTCCTGTCTGTGCGAAGACCTCATCTTCAACGAGTGTGGCTGGGTCCAGGACGTCCCCGCCAATGCTGTGTAGTTTTGTTGGGCATCGCGGCACAACGTATGTGTGCCACTTGATAGGCGTCTCGACTTGGTGGGCGCCGAGGCATTCCGCCAGCTTTGCCTTACTTGTAAGTAGTCTTTCCTGTATTTGCTTGTTTCGCGGCTTCAGAGAGTAACCTGTGCTGATATGGTAGACGTGGGGAAGGTCCGCTAGCCCCAGGCCAACGGCCTTACAGACGATCTGTCGTACGGCGAACGGTGCGATCTTCCGAGCGGCCGCTAAGCTTTCTTCCGGGACGCGGGCAAAGATGCGGAGGTCCTCCTTCGGCTGCGCCTGCGGCTGATCCTCGGCGGGGAGTGTGGCCTTCGGGCGGGCAGAGCTCTGGCAGCTCTGGCCGCTCCGGGTCGCCGCAGTGGTGTTGCCCGCCATCGGTGCGACGACAGCCGCCCAACTCCGGGCCGCTATTGGGCTTGTCTCGTGATTGATCAGTCTCTTGAGGGTTTGAATGACATAGGCAGTGGCTTCTTTCGCGATCTGCTTTCTAGAACCGTCAAAGCTGGCGACAACGCTGTCGACGGACCGTGCAATGGTCAGAAAGACGTCTTTCCGTGCCTCGTACTGTCTAGCTTCTTCTGCAAGGGCTGTCAAGACGGACCCTGTGGCAGATCCGCTCGGAGCAGATGCGGTAGAGGCTGCGGGCCCCTCGGCCGAGGTAGGGGCGTCGGTGGTGGCATCAAGCTGGCTTCCCGTTAGGCTGGGCCGGGTCGGCTGTGCCTCGGCGTCGCGGCGTCGCTTAGCTCTTGAGGTGGGGTTCGGCTCCGGAGGTGTCCCGGAGCCTGGTTCGGGGTCGGCTTGGTCGGCCGACATCAGTCCGGTGCCCGACGGCGGCTGTGAGGCCATCGCGGATGCGGGCTCCGGCAAGGGGAGGTGAAGAGTTTTCGGCTGTTAGTAATTTGGTGGTAGGCTCACTCATTCACTAACAGCAGATGCCAAGAAAAATTAGGCGAGAGGGAAGTTGTGGAAAACCTCTAGGTGGCGAGGTGGGAGGTGAAGCTAGCCTTGGTAACCAAGACAGCTACACCCGGCTTCTCTAAGGAGCAATCTTTCCTTTCCTCAACTCAATTCTCTCCCTTCCTTTCGTCCTCACCATTCTTCACACCAAAGCCATACCGAGCCTCTCCCGCGAAAGAGCAAAACCCTTCTGCTAATAAAATCATTACCAACTGCACAACACGCGAGACAAGTTGACTCTGCACAAATCCTGTACACTAAGAAGTATCATACGCGACGCGAAGCGTTCACCGGCAGGTCCGAGGTCGTTTGCGACCGAACCAAGAGAGATGGACCGCCAAGTCCCTAACAACAAGCGACAGCGGGAGGCCGCAATGGGAGACTGGCCCAAGATGCCGGGACAGTTCCCAGGAGCTCGATCTGTCCCTCCTCTGGTATTTAATGAGCCCTGTTGTTCGAGCGGCGTGATACTTACGACGTGTCGCTCTAGGTACAGACGAGAAGCGCCCAGTGGCCTGATGTACGATTGGCAGAGAACGCAACGAAGGCCCTGGCATCTCCTACTGCCAACCCCGAAGTCGAGGAGTTTCGCAAATGGCGCAGCGAAATTGAGAAATCCCTGACCGATATTCACCTTAAGCTCGGCTACCTGCTTTCTGAGACCGAGGAATTCCGCGCGATGGAGGCGCATTATAAGAACCTCCAGGAGAGCACGCCGATGGGCACTAATCTGTCCAATTCTTGCCACCGGCTTGATCTTCATCAGCAAACCATTGTGGAGACTGTGCAAAAGTTGGATACCACAATGAAGCAGGTTGACGACCTCACGCGCGAAGTCACTCACTTGAGGGATGGCTCTGAGGTCACTGTGTCGTTTAGATCGTCGGGTCGCAAGTGAGTCCTTGGAAGAATATCTCTAGCAGATCGGTACTAACAGTTTGGCAGGCAGTAGATGATGTCGTTCATAACGGATTTTCGCACAAGATTGGGAGCAGATTGCATTTCACGATCCTACGTTCCGCCAAGGTTATTTGGTGGGTAAAGCGAGATGCACTTCTTTTGTTTATGATCATGACAATATCTTTAACACAAGGGAGTTTGCGTTGCTTGGATCACTTTAGGGAAGAATAGAGGATCGATGAAAGAAGAAAGGAAGGAGAAAACCATTGTGGTACTAGGATGGTATTTCTTTGACGGACAGACACGTAGAGGAGCGCTTGCTGTTTCACAAAGCTTATGATGCAATTTTCTGAATCGCTCTCATGGCAATTGAGACATAGACCTAGTAATATAGTGGTTTGCTACGGAACTCTGGGAGTCTAGCAATATTTCAGTGCTGAAACGGGGCAAGGAGGTCAGTTCTGTTGTCTGCGACGTTGCCCAAAGTTGATGTAAATCCGTGCTGTTTGATGCCCTCCAATGCAGAAGAAGATCCGGAGTCTTCCTTCGCCGGAGTCTGCCGTTGTTTCCCTGATGCAACCTCTAGGACTGCTCTGATATCCGGTATCTTTCCGTCGAGTGATGACCTCCAAGCTACGTGATCATCAGGACGAATGAGAACCGCGTCTCTACCCCATACCATCCTAGCCTGGGCCTCTCCGGGCAAATGAATCTTCGTTAGTGGAATCCTGAGCATGTCAGCGGCGGTCTCAAACCCCTGGCTCCAAATCCCAGCTTCTGTGAAGTCAACGATTGAGAATTCTGGTCCGAATAGGTCGAAAATACTGGTTTTGCCATCCTCTAGGTAGACATGAGGAGCACGCCCACCCGGCCATAAGGATGGCACAAATGTTCGCGGGTTCCATGAAGGCTCCTGTTCTTCTTCCCCAGCTTTGTCCTGGAGGATGACAGGCGATCCATTGTATCGATATCCCATTTCGATTCCGTGGTCCTTATTCTCACCTTGGTGGGCCTCGGTATGTGCCTTTATGTGGTTTAACAGAAGTTTACGCTCCTCCCTAGCGGAAAGGACATCTGGGCCTCCGTCGGCCACCCATTTGACGTACATCTGATGAACCTGGAAATGTTGACCAGACCGTTCGATGTTGCGAATTGCAACCGGTTTTCGTTCGACTTCGTACGAGCGGATCAGTTCTTGCCCTCCCCAGCCATTAAGAACAGCCGATAGTTTCCATCCCAAATCAAAAACGTCGCCGACAGCCGTGTTCATGCCGTATCCACCAGTGGGAATGTTTTGATGCGCTGCGTCTCCAGCTAGAAACACTCTCAAACTTTCCGAGGCAAAGCGCTCAGCAATAGCGATGTTTGGGCGCCACGAGCTGCAAACGAGGATTTCGTCCACCTTGATAGGATAAGGAGCCAAAGACCCGCCGAGCCCTTGGTATATAGATTCTGTTGGATCAAGGGATCTCCAATCAGTGTCGAGAGATATGGGAATATGGATCGTCCATATGTCAATTTCGTCTTGAGATATTATTACGCTGCCGCTGGTGAAGAAGATATGCCAGAACTGGCCTTGCTTGTGCAAAGCCGTGAGATCTCGCGACTTGAAGTGAATGAGATACATCGCAGAAGGTCTGGATTTTACCACATTAGAGATTCAGGGTTTCTAGTCTTCAACAGAAAATCATGCTAACTCACACAGGACCACCAATCATCTTGATGTCAAGTTGCCGACGGACGCTACTGCCAGCGCCATCACAGCCGACCAGATACTGACTGGTGACCAAGTGCCGCTCTCCAGTGACGACGTTGAAGAGTTCCGATTTCACCCCGTCGGAGGTCTCTGTACAACTTTCGAATCTGAGGCCAAAGTGATCTTCGACTAGCTCTTCGGACTCGATGCGATGCTTCAGCCAGGCTTCAAAGATAGCCTGACTGCAACGCTGGTAAGGCTCCCTTGGCATGGAACCATCATTGCAAGCACGGATACGCTGGCGCCATTCGTCTGGCGAGGGAAGATCCTACTTTCTCGTAAGAAACACAAAGCCATTGGCATAGCAGGGGTATCCGGGCCAAGTATTAGCTTACCCATTTGCTAACGAGCTCTCCATTTTCTGAGAGGCCCGTACTGAAGAGCACGTTGAAAGAGTAGTGCTGTGGGACGCCTTGAGTCCGCAAGTCATCGGCAATCCCGAGTCTTCTAAGCAGCTCCATACTTCGACAATTAGTGATATCCATTTTTGGCCATTTTGTTGAATCTAGGTTTCGTTCAGCTATCAAGCTTTGAACACCATTCTTCGCCAACTGCAGTGCTAGAAGCAACCCAGCGGGGCCAGCGCCAACGACCAAGACTTGTACGTGATGCTCAATTACCTGCGGAATCATCAGTCATAAAAACGTCGAACCAGGCAGTTCAGCAATAAAATTCGACGTACGATTGTTGAGCCCATAGTTAGTGAGGTCAAATCATTCGATTCCGGCTAGCAAATCCTTAATTGAAGTCGCATTTCTCAGAATGACGACAATATTTTCCTTGGATGACTTTGGGCTTTTTGTGCATTGGCACCTCGATCGGCGAGAATATTATCAAAACCCCCACCGTGCCGGCGTCTACCGCGGTGATCTCCGTCCGGCCGAACTCTTGTCCAAGGCCCTTCACTTGGTCGCACGTGCCGAGCCAATGTGCCCGCCAAGGACGGCATTTCGGAACGCCGTGGTTGACCGTCCCCACACGGGTACTGGGTATCTATGTACCTAGAGTAGCCATCTCAGCAACTTTAAAGTTCAGAGATGTTCAGGTGCAGTTACCTTGACAGATTCACGTATAATGGCAGTTCCAGTCAGAAGCTGCATGCTATCAATATCGTATCATATTGAGACGTGACATGCAGGTTTGCAGATGCTGAGGAAATTAGAGAAGACCGGTGCTTCGCTGATGGCTGAAATCGAATAACTTGTTCAAAGGTGCAATAGGTCCAAGATAGATAATACATGTAACAGAGGGTCGATTTTGATTACCCCATGAGGAATGCGTTGCCGATCTAGCTCCCGTTGAAGCGGCCTGTGCCCAAGCAGCCCCTGCATCACATCCCGTAAACCCCGGACGGCCCCTCACCTGGAATCTGGGGTAGCCAGCGGGGCACATCTTCAAGCTGCTTGAACTTGCTTCATTCATACATCGACTTGTTCCTCGTCGTCATCTAGGCGTCGAGTACATCCACTCCGTTTCGCCCAAAGTCTTGCGATTGCCGGGTTTATTCTCGTCCTGACTACGTACGACTTGCAACCCTAGAGTCACGAACGTCTCCTCCAGCATCGTTGCACAGGCTTGATCCAGATGGAGGTCGAAGCAAGTATCACCGGCTTGGGACCGATAAAAGATGCCCGGATCTCAAAAGACAGCAATATCATTGCAGGAATTTCCCCAGAGAGGGGATTTCGCGCTTGTATCGAGTGCCGACGGTAAGTCGCCGCCTAAAGACTATGAGTCGAAGTCACATCACTGTTTCTCCTACTCTTCCCGGCTTAATCATACTGACTTCTTCCAACGTAGAAAGAAGACAAGGTGTATGCAAGAGACTCTGAATCCTCCTGCGAATCTACCCACGTCACTCACCTTAAAGCTGTAGGCGACATGCGTCAACCCATATGCGGCCTTTGTCGCAGAACAGGAGGGTCTTGCACATTCCCGACAAAGAGGAAAGCCCCTGAAGTTCGGAAACGACCTGCAAAGCAGACGGAATCAAACGTTATAGATTCTCAAAGGCTTGGTCAGATCCAGTCTCATCTCAAATGCGATAATTACGGTCTATACTAAATCTCTGCCAGAACATCTTGTCAGCCTTCTTGAATCTAGACTCGACGAGACCCCAAAAAGCAAAAGCTCCACAGGAGAATCTCCGGGAAGAGAGCAAGGCAGCGCTCAATCAAGTGCTACGAGCCCTAGTTACTCCGGATCAGTTTGGACTTGTCGAGAAGATGCGGAGCAGGACGTCATCATAACTTTAGCCTCTACTCCGGCCAACTCAACAAGCCATTGTCTTGGATCCAGAGCTGAACAAAAAGTCGAAACCAAACCTAGAACTACTGACAAAAGCACAAGAGAGACTTTATACCGGCCCCAGATACCTGAAAAAGTGGTGACAGAGCTCGTCAATCTATACTTCGACAAGATTCAAGCATGGTTGCCATTGCTTCATCGGCCAAACTTCTTCGCCAAGTACATGGTTGATGGTAGCTTCCAAGAAGACAGGCTACTTGAGATGTCGCTAGAAGAGGGTCTGCTGTTACATGGTATCTTTGCTCTTGCCGCGCGACACTCAAATAATGAGTACTTCAAGGGATTATCGTCACCGAATCGTGGGGAGAGCTTCGCCGAACGGGCGATTCAATATTACGGCAAACTGCGATCGTCCGATAGCGAGACAACGTTGGAATATTTACAGGGGTGTATATTGTTGGCCTTTTATCTCTACACGGCCGGCCCAAGTCATCAAGCATGGATACTCACCGGGGTATGTGCTCGCTTAGCTTACGACCTGGACCTGTGCTATATGGACGAAGAAGACGGCGGCAATGAGATGGCGTACACAGAGTGGTCGGCAGAAGAGGAGCGTAGGAGAGCATTTTGGCTTGTATGGGAGATCGATACGTTTGCTTCAACCCTGTCAATGAGGCCGCGAGGACTCAACAGCCAACGGATCGTTGTGCGTCTCCCCGCCAGCGATGAGGCGTGGTTTTCCAACCGTCCATGCGAGTCGCCAGTTATTCCCCTTGATCCATCACAGGCTTGGAAAGTCTTGCTCGACTCCCCGAACAAAGACGAACGAGCGTGGTTCCTCGTGGCCAATCATCTAATGGCTTTAGCATACGAGGCAGCTTCAGGCCCGCAGAAGTCTCAGCGAGAACATAGCAATTTGGCGAGCTCAATCACTTACTTCTCTCTTGCAGTTTCTCAGAGATTTGGACTGGAAACAAACCCACCTGTCTTCACTGCCAAGACTTTTGCGAACGCCAATTGGATTGTTGGCATGCATTTGATGTTGGCGAATACTCGAGCGTGCTTACACGCTCTGACAGTGGCACCAGCGTCGGGTGATGAGACGTTTGGAGATGACTATTCGAGAATCTTCAATCGTTGGCACCCCGAATACATCGCCCTCAGTCACCCATTCCTTGCCGGAACACTTCTCTCTGCTCGCACTTTTCCATCTACGTTCTCGTCGCGTTCATTGAGCTCATCATGTAACCAAGAGCTTTCGACCCTAATCCTTTCTCACTTTGCTACTTTTTGGAAGCTGGGCTCTGTGCTGCTGGGTGAGTGCCTCATTTTTCATACTGAGACAATCTACGCGGTCTAATGATGCAAATTCTGGCAGGCCTGATGACTTCCAAGTCAGTAAACGATGCACTATTTCTCGAAAAACAATGCTCCATAAAAAAATATTGCAAGATTTATTTTACTCACTCGAATCTGCAAAATGAGTCACTTAAGGCCACAAGCCAAGCGCGATCGAGTATGTGGCAGTCTAGCAATAGACCTGTCTGTGAAGGGGCGTCGGAGCAAACCGACATTTGCCAGTCTCCAGAGGAGCTTTGTGACATTGGACTGGGGCTGGATCAGATTGCGGACAAGGCACCGCAGTTTTCAGAAAATACCTTTGAGGGGTTGTATAGCTGGTGCTCTCCCATGCAGATGGAGTATCTATGCGGTGATAGTTCAGAGTTCAACTGCTTCGAGTCGAACCTCTAAGCTCAACATATGAACTATAGCTACCTTGAAACTGTCCACTATTAACATTTGGTGAGATTTCGTGGGTGATTCGCAGGTACTTGCATGCTCTTGTCGACCTTTTCTCGCTGATCTAGTCATGACAGAAACCTCGCCAAATCGTGACCCTGCGACGTTTCGGACATCTAACATGTGTCCCGTCCACTTTGCGCGTCAGAAGACGATCCGATTCGCAATCCTTCCAGTCCAGAGATCTCTACTTCTACCAAGTCATCGTCCTTGAGGAAGGCGCCTCCGAAACAAATGACCCCAGAGGAAGTGGCCGTCATGATTACTGTTCCCTTCCGCAAAACCGTGCCTTGAGAGAGGTGGACTGGTAGATGGTGAGCGACAGAAGCCAAAGGACGGTTTCATACAAAACTCTTTGGTCAGAACGCTGTCCAATCGTCTTCTTCGGAGGACAATTAATAGCAAGATATCCCTACGGATGAAAACCCCAAGATACTCAATGGCCTTCTTTGCCAGGAGACCGTGGGACGCGGGCGTCCTAAAGCTATCTATTACTACGAGGATATCCAGATAATAATCGTCAGGCACCCAGCTACTAGACGATGCATAACAGCCGTAGCTATCAAATTTATCTATCACAAAGGCGCGAATAGCAAGCCCAAGCTATACGTATTTCATTATATACCCTAATAAGAACGTAATTATATACTAATAGTTATAGAACGATTTTCTACTTTACGCTGATTGTCTACTATTTAAACCGACTGACTCGGTCAGTAAGTTTACAGACCCGGAGGAACTGTTCCTGTATCCAGACGATTTTGTCCCTATGCAGCCTGCCACAGATAAGCTCTCCGCCCTCTTTTTACAGCACTCTAATCAGGCTATTCAGGTGAAGCAGTGCGTGCGAAGGGCCTTGAATCAGTATATGTCGCTTATAATCAGAGAGACTCATTGCCTGGTCCCCTCGGATATACTGCATACGTGTAGCTTCGTCAAAGTCTTGGTCGTGGTAGTTGGGGATTCTGATCGCTGGGTCCGCTAAGTCGTGCAAGCCTCCGTGATTTTGGCGATTACCCAGGTAAAACGGCATGGACCGGCAGATGGAGTCCACCAACTTCCTGCCGTGATTGGGATCTGGGAAATTGGAATCCCCGGTAGCAATCAGGAGAGTTTGCTGCAGCGCCTCGGGGGGCGCTTTCGCAAGCAGACAGAACTCCATCCGCAGGACCATGAGCCGGCAAACGCGCCAGACATTCCATATCGTGGCAATCTGGACGGTCGGGTATATATCGCAGAACCCGAAATAAGCAAAGGTGTCTTCTTGGGGTCTTTTATAAGGCAGCCATGAGGCCGGCACTAGCTGAACCCAATCCAAGAGCTGTGCGTTAACGGACGAAGCGTCCTGCCACCAAGTCGCAAGGGTCAGACCATCCAGCTTATTCTTGGCCAGCCCGCACATAAACGTGGATAGTCTCTTTTGCAAATTGGCAATCGAGAGCCCGATCAGGTCCAAGACTGCACTCGGGTTAGCTGGCATAGAATAGTCCCACCCTGCATGGAACCAAATATCCAGGCCCGAGGTGTCGTCTGGTTGCATTTCCATATATGTCGACACATCACAGTGCCGCAGGTAGCTCCTCAAGTATGCGCGGCAATCCGTGTCCGAGACGCTCTCAGCGCCATGTTCGAGCAATGCACGAGCCCCTTCCTGGTGGGCGCGCATAGTATGCTGGTGCGTCGACCGAGCAGCAAGGCTCTCGTAGAAATGCATCAAGATAGCGCTGAGTACGGTACTGTCTTTTAACCGCTCGAGGGGATCATTGAGAGCTGCTCGCAGGCGACTCAACGCCCTAGTAAACGGAGGATGAGGCGTTCGATAGCTGTTTCTTGGAGTTTTCCATAAGCTCCAGAGCTTCGTTGACACGGCAGTCAGGACGGTCGAGAGGACAGAATCCGGATGCTCCTTGGATACGACAGGGAGAAGAGGCTCCAAGAAACCCTGGGTCGAGCGAAAGCTGCGTCCTAAGCCCGCGATCGAGGTGAGGAAGAAGCAGACAGCGAATGATTCGTCACCGGGGGAAATCGTTGCTGGTATGACAGCCCGCGTTGTCCATTCTGACGTTATCGACATGCGAGGGCTCCTTAACCGTGATGTCGGCGTAAGGAGCCTTGCGCCATTGCTCTGATCCTTGAACCGAATTCCGCCTGTCTTTTTCTGTGATTCGTAACCTCCACACACACGCCCCAGTCGGAGGCATTCACGACAGCTTGGTCTGTCCTCGTCGCATTTTACACGTCGTTTGCGACATGTCGAGCAGCCCTTTGAGGGGCCATGGTTGACCATGTCTGCTGCACGATGATCAACAGGACTGATGTCGCTTCTAGTTGAGAGTTGCCACGCGGCCGGTTCTTTTTGCGATTCGTCGCGTCCAGGGACTGAGTTATAAATACCGTCATGCGGAGATTAGATAGCGTTGCGAGCGAATTATAGATTGTTGAGTTAGAGTCCAGGACTCCTCATCGGCCGGACTTGTGTGAAGCGTTTGCGATGGGAGACGCGAAAGTCGTGGGGTGGCTGGAACTAGAGAGTGGCAGAGCATTACAAGGCGACCAATCGCAAAGAAATTGCCTTATCCGTCCTAGTCGCCGCGTCATTCATAATAGCCTCATGGTTCCCGGGAGTGCGCAACTAGAAAAATACCAATCGCAAAAAGCCTCGATGCATGGCTAGTGCATAGTGTAGGCGTAAATTGGTTGTGGGCTGCTCTCGCCGGAACAGATTGTAAGAACAAGCGAATGAAGATAAAAGGCAGTGCATCGCCGACAAAATTATAGCATGATCAATACCGTGACCAGCAACTCTACCCATTTTCCTCTACTCTACACTTACTTCTGAGTGCCTTTCAAAATGAAGTCAACTTCCTTGTTCAGTGCTGTTCTCCTGGGGTCAACGGTAGCTTCAAGCTCCATTCTTCCCCGCGACTCTGAGCCATCGATCTCGCCAAAGGAGCCAGAGGATCCCATCATCCTCTTGAGCAAGGATGAAAGCTTCCATTTCGAGCTGCTCTTCACCCTTGGAAACACCATATTCGGGGCCGGCGACGTCAACGACGTCTTAGCCGCAGCGAAAGACATCAAGGCCGGGAACTTCACCAGCTGGCTTGAGACCTTCCACGCGTTGGCTAAATACACTAAAAACCAAGCCGAGGATGCGGACAATGCGTACGATCCATTGAACGTCCGGGAAGCCTGGTTCGCTACATCGAGCTACTACCGTCAGGCCGACTTCTACAACCATGCGAACTGGACGGACCCACGTATCAATAGCTTCTGGCTCGAGCAACGCGCTGCGTTCGATAAGGCGCTTGCTACACTGCCCGTTCCTGGCGTACGTATCCAGATCCCGACCGACAACTTCACCATTGAAGCAATCTGGTACACATCCGCAGCCAACGGGGTCAAACGGCCGACCTTGATTATCGGCAACGGATACGATGCTAGCCAGGAAGATTCCTACCACTCGTTCGTTAAACCAGCCTTGGCCCGTGGCTGGAATGTTATGACCTACGAAGGGCCAGGGCAGCCCACTGTTCGCCGCAATGATGACATTGGTTTCATCCCTGATTGGGAGAATGTTCTCACGCCAGTGATAGACGAGTTGATGAATCGCAAAGGTTGCTTCGTCGATGAAGACCGGCTGGTCCTTGTTGGCGTTTCAATGGGTGGGTATCTAGCCGCTCGTGCCGCTGCGTTTGAGCCTCGGATCAAGGCTCTTATTCTCAATGGCGGCGTGTGGAATGTCTATGAGGGATACGCCAGTCAGCTGACCCCGGACATGAAGGAACTTCTCGCTGCGGGCAAGCAAGAAGAATTTGATGAGGCTGCCTTGCCGCTCTTGGATAGCCCATTGGTGTCCACAACGATGCGCTGGGGTCTAGGACACGGATTGTGGTGCTTCAAACAGCATTCCCCGTATCTATGGCTCGAATCGCTTAAGCAGTACACTCTTGAGGACGTGGTTGAGAAGATCAACGTACCCGTCCTTGTCGTTGATTCCGAGTTCGAGGGGTTCTTCGCTGGCCAGCCGGAGGTTGTTAAGGACGCACTTGGCGACAGGGCAACTTATAAGTTCTTTAATAGAACAGCTGGATATCACGTTCAAGTTGGGGCTGGGCAAGAGTGGAGTAGGTACCAGTTTGCCTGGCTAAATAAGATACTAGGGTAAGTAGGATCAGCTTTTGTATATTACGACCTGGCCTAGAGGTTAGTTATCAAGATTAAAGGTTTTAGGTTCCTAATATTGTTTATAACAAAATAACTTTTATATTTCTGATATGACCTTGAATGATCTTGTTCTTTACGCTTTGAGCTTTGATTAACTATATTAACCCGAGAGATGTTGGTCAAGAGGCCGGGCGGCATTCCCGGTGAACCCGCTCAATGCCGCGGTGCAGTCAGCGGTCAATAAATGCGCAATAGACCACTGTGACACCCGTTGCATTGCGTTACATATACGAGCAACCGTTTTGTTCATCCAATAGTCTGCATATAACCTGATTCACCGTCCGCAAACCCTTCCAATCTATCACTTATCGCGAGTTGGACCCATGGCTTCATTATCACAGAAGATCAGGGTCGTTCGCCTCGCCTCGGTGTTGTATCAGCACGTCGACGTCGAAAAGGCCGCCGAATTCCTTGAGGACTTTGGCCTTCAAGAGGTGGCTCGGCAGGGCGAACGCATCTACTTTGCCGGTTTCGGTGTTGACCCGTACGTCTATGCGGTTGAAAGATCTCCCGGCTCACGCCGCGCGTTTATTGGCGCAACCTGGGTCGTTGAGAACGAGAGCGACCTTGAGGTCGCCGCGGATCACCCTGGCGCTACAGGCATTCAGGACGAGAAAGGTCCTGGTCGTGGTAAAAGAGTGGACATTGTCGACCCAAATGGCTACCATGTTGGATTCATTCACGGCCAGGCCCCAAGAAGCGAGGTAGACAATGGGGACAAAAGCCGGATTGCTGACAATGAGAGACCTCCCACCAATCTGGTCGACGAAAAACCAAGAAAAGGTCGTTCAAAACGCTTCAGCTACGGACCTAGTCCAATTCACAAGTTGGGGCATTATGGATTCATGGTCCCCAAAGACACTTACGAGAAAACGCTGAAGTGGTACACTAGCCTCATGAACCTAGTGCCTACTGACGCGGTCTTCGACCCTCAGACAAACAAAGACACGACTTGTTTCATGCATATTGATAGAGGCAGCACTTTCACTGACCACCATGTAAGTGGCAGAGCTGTGGGATCTTTGGTGCATCTATTGATTACGAACACAGAGCTTTTTCCTCGGCGCCCATCCGTTTAGTCAGACGCCTTTTGTTCATCACGCTAGCTTCGAGGTTAATGATATGGATACCCAAGCTCTTGGCCACGAGTGGCTTTTGAAGAAGGGATACACCAACTGCTGGGGAATTGGACGGCATGTCTTGGGCAGCCAACTATTTGACTACTGGTAAGCATGAGCGCGTTTCCCAATACTCCAAAGAACATGTGTCAAACAGTGTAGTAACTTGATATCCGCCATAGGTTTGATACCTCGGGGAACATCCTTGAACATTATTGTGATGGAGACCTGGTCAACGAGGACACTGAAGCTACACGGTCTCCAGAAGCACCAGATTCACTCCATGTTTGGGGTCCAAACGTTCCTCTCGGTTTTGTGACTGGCAGAATTGAGGATGCAGGGAAACTCGCAATGCCATCAGCGACTTGAAGTCTTAATTGACGCAGTGCATATGGGCATGCAGTAAGCGTTCGTATGTTGCGAGGGTTCGGCTTAGCTGATGCAGCGATGTGAGACGCCATATGCAGTCATATGTAGTTTTATTCGATGGCAAATTCAAGAGTCTGCCGGGGCGTATTCAAAGATCCTACCTGGCATAGAATTCATTTCTATGAAACTGGCGACAAGTTTTCCCGGCCTATGCACAATTCTTCATAAAAGCTGTCTTTGATCGGGCGAACAAATGCTCCAGTCTTTCCGGTCGCTGGCTGCAGAACGTAGAATAAGAGCTCACAAAAGTATTCAAAATACCGCCAACTTAAAGCTTTCGCATGGCATTTTTATCCAAAGTTTTGATGCTTACCTCTATGCCGGCAACGAGGTAGTAGTTACTGCCATTATGTGACACATGGATATGCAATGTGGGAGCCTTTTTTCTTACACGCCTCCGGAGAAAGTTCGTGGCTAGACAGGTTTGTTGGCAGATTTGCAGGATAATTCAACGCCTGTCCTCGAAATCTGCAGGGATGAAGCTTCGAGGAATGCGGGTGATGGTCATGGGGTCAGTCGTGTTACGGTTAGCTATCGCATCGGCAAAGCTCGGTCAATGGCGGTAAACCCATCGTTCCGAGCTCATTTTGACATCGGTCAGCATTCCCCCTTTTGGCAAGTCGTTTCCATCAGCTCTACGCGTCACTGTGACGAGGAATTGGTTCTGTTGGAACAGTTCTATATATGAATCGTGCTCGGGAATGCAGCACAGCTCCTTCTATTCACGCATTTCGATCGCACCTCTTGAATGAACACCCATACCTGACATACCTATAAGTTTGCTGGAATCAAGATGAAGGTGGTCATTATTGGTGCCGGAATCGGTGGTCTGGTTTGCGCCATATCCTGTCGTCGGGAAGGCCTCGAAGTTGTAGTTCTCGAACAAGCTGCTGCTTTACAACCTGTAAGTGCCATCTCGATGCACCCTGAAGCTGAAGACCTGAGAGGGTCGCTGACAGCGTGGGTTCGATAGGTCGGCGCAGGAATACAGATACCTCCCAACGCTGCCCGGATCCTTCGCAAGCTCGGCCTCGTACCTCAACTGCTAGACAAGGCTACTTTGGTCGATACAATTGACTACCTTCGATACAAAGATGGCGAGGTTCTGTATCAGATGGAAGGCGGCGAGAAGATGAAGGAATTATATGGCGATGTTTGGATGTCAGTTAATGCCTTCGACCTTAGCGCTCGACGCGAGGTGCGATGCTGATGAAGCTGAGTCTGACCCTCTCTTAGGGTTATTGCTCGGCCACACTACCACGGCGTATTATGGAGCGCGGCCAAGGAGGCTGGCGTAGAGTTACGACTTGGCGCGGAGGCAGTGGCAATTGATTTTGAGGACTCAAGCGTGCGCCTTGTGACTGGCGAAATCGTACGAGGTGATGTTGTCGTTGGTGCCGATGGTCAGTTGTGCCCACATTTCAATTTGCTATTTCTTGAGATTTATCCGAGACTGATGAAAGATGTCCCTACTAATACCACGGAGGTCTCTGGTCGAGGTCGAGGGATCAGATTCTTGGCCGACTCTCGCCTCCGTCTGAGACGGGAGACCTTGCATATCGAGCCACCTTGACTTTGCAGCAGATGAAGGATTTGAAAGACCCTCGAATAGACGACTTAATCGAGCATAAGACAGTCAAATGCTGGATAGGCCCGAACAAGCATTGTGTTCTTTATCCCATCGGTGGTGGACAAGTATTCAACCTTGTCATTTTATGCCCAGATGACATACCCAAAGACATGAGACAGGCGCCTGGGGATGTGGAGGAGATGCGAGCTTTGTTCGTCGGCTGGGATGAAAGGTCCGATTGAAATTCTCTTACACTAGAGTATTACTAACCCGATCCATGTAGACTGACGAAAATGCTATCATGTGTCCCGTCCGTTTTAAAATGGAAGCTGTGTCACCACGAAGAATTGCGATCGTGGAGGAAGGTAATTATTCTACGGACCGAGTATCTGCAAGTGATCACTGATTTCAACAGGGACCCATAGCCTTGCTTGGCGATGCATGCCATCCAACGCTGCCATATCAAGCGCAGGGCGCAGCAATGGCAGTAGAAGATGGTGCTGTTCTGGGAAAGCTGCTTGGGCAGTTGATGAGCTCAGGTCTATATCATGATGGGGCCAGAGACACTATACTGGACATGTTGGAGATCTACGAGAACCTACGAAAGTCTAGGACCACCATTAACGTTCAGGGAGCGAGATCAAATCAGCGTGCATATCATTTGCCAGACGGCCCCATTCAGGAGTCTAGGGATGCTTGGCTTAGGTCTCAACCTAGAGGAGCTTCACCTGATGGTTTCACTCTTGCTGACACGGCTTACCTCGGAGTTATTCTGGGATTTGATGCCTTGGAGGAAAGTGTTTATGCTTTCGAAAATTGGAAAGCAGGCCAGGTACAAACCTTGCCGAGATACAATTTGTAGTGGTTTATAAAGGCGAGCCGAAGCACTGATCTCTAGAGACTTCGTTCTTTCTGCCTTGAACAGTACAGAAGTAGAGGCATCCTTTGACAGATTGAACATCAAGTGCTCCGTGGAGGAAATTCAGACATATTGTAAATACATCAAAGGCGGCGCAGACACAGGAGCTATGGCCGACACGCCGCATTGAGCCACCCCCTTCCTTGGGGGGAGAGGGGGGGGGGGTTCGAAACGCTGGAGTTCTGAAGGTTGGAAACACTAGAAATACACGAATGTCACTGAACTGTCTCATTTGGGGCCCAAAGGTTGCAAATTACCATCCATGTGAAGCGGCATGCGCGGTCAAAGCAGAAGTGCCGTCTCGCGGCCTTCGACGGGGAGCTGATTCCTGCCATGGCCAAATTTGACCATGAGATCGGATGTCGCGCGGGGTAAGAGCCGTATCTTCTCCCCGGGCTTGGCCGTTCCCACAGTCTTCCTCGAATTTGAGACTCTATAGGCGAATATTCAACAGAAGGAATTTAGTTTCCAGGTGGATAGCGGCCATCTTCAATATAATTGAGACTCCCATACAAGTGATATTCTTTGTACACTTGTCCAGAGCAGAGTCTTTTGCCTTGAAGTCGCCCTCAGCTTATCCCCCATCAAACCTGCTGACTCGTAACTAAGTGTTGCACCTCGGGTATGGATCTTCTATGCTTGATCGTTGAGGCTGGCCTCATCAGTCAAGCGTTTCTTTGCTTATCCATTGCATTATCTATTCTATTCCTTTGGGTCTACTTTCCAAGTGGCTTATCGCCTATACCAGGTCACTTCCTTGCCAAGAATACCAACGTGTGGAGGTTGATTGATGTGGCCAGAGGACGAGCCCACGAGACGCATTTGGCATTGCACAAAAAGCATGGGCAATACGTGCGCCTTGGTCCCAGTGTTGTCAGTATACAAAACTTGGAGGTACTCAAAACTATTTACAGTATCAAGAACCCCTACAAAAAGGTGACCGTGATGGAGTTTGCTCTGAATCAAGTAGACTACTCACTGACCACCTCATTGCAGAGTGACTACTATAAAGTCGCACAACAGATGGCTGGAGGAAAATTAGCACCCACGTTGTTTTCTACAGTGGATGAACAACACCACTCTGCAATCAGACGACCAGTCTCTTCCACTTATGCCATGGGTAATGTGGTAGCGCTTGAAAAGGGGGTTGACGAACTCATCAAGGCTTTACTTGGTCGCCTAGACAAATTTGCTGCAGGCCAGGAAGTCTGCGACATCGGGATGTGGCTCCAATTCTGTACGCGTAATTTTGAGTCGGGCGGACATATCACTCTGCTGACAATAAGACAGATGCTTTTGATGTGATAGGCAAGATTACTTTTGGCAGGCCATTGGGCTTCTTAAGCGAAGAAAAGGACGTGGATGGCATCATAAAATCTCTCATTAGGGCTCAGGACTATGTTGCTGTGGTTTGTATCACTCAACTTTTCTTTGAAACTGGCAGTCAAACTTTCGAAAAGTTGAGAATGTTGCTGACTATGAAGAAAACAATCCTAGATTGGACAAATTCCATGGCTCGACTATTTGCTTCTCAAAAACCCTCTGCTGAGGTTCTTTGGAGGCGGCACTGGAGCAATCGCCATTTTTGCAATAAAGTCCTTAGAAGAACCTCTTTCCAAGGGCCTGAGTTGTGACGAAAACACGACCGACGACTTTCTTCACCGCTTTTTAGCTGCTAAGCAACATCATCCTGCTGTTGTCACTGACTGTCAAATATTCCAGTACACACTTAGCAACGTCACAGCAGGCTCAGACACAACTGCCATCGCGCTTCGATCAATCCTGTACTTCCTAATGAGAAATCCTCATTGCATGGACCTCCTTCAAAATGAACTATTTCTCGCCCGAAAAACAGGCGCTTTGTCTCTCCCTGTCGAATGGAAAGAAAGCCAGCAGTTGCCATATCTCAGTGCGGCAGTCAAAGAGACTTTCCGTCTCCACCCGCCTGTCGGGCTTCTTCTGGAACGGGTCGTCCCAGATGGAGGGCTTCAGTTACCAGACGGGCCTTTTCTTCCATCTGGTACGATAGTTGGCGCCAATCCATGGGTTGTACACCGCCATTCAGTATTTGGTGAGAATTTGGAATCATTCGACCCCGGAAGATGGCTCCAGAGATTCGACGAGTCTGAGGACGACTTCAACGCCAGAAAATCTCTAATGCTCAGTGCGTCTCTCACTTTCGGTGCTGGACCACGAACCTGCATCGGCAAAAACATCAGTTTGCTTGAGATCTACAAAACTATTCCAACACTGCTTCTCACGTATGAGGTACGTTCTTCAGGACTCAACACTTAGCTGCCCCATCACTGCGCAAACTGGCCGAAATGCTGATGCTGAGGGGATTAAGTTCGAGTTGGACAACAATGCAAGGAGCTGGGAAACCTGGAACTCGTTCTTTGTCAGGCAATCGAACTTCATGGTCAAGTTAAGAAAGGTTCGCGATCAGAATAGTGCTTAAGTCGATCCGGTGATGTAGCGGTGTTTCCATTACAACCATTGCGCGGAGGCGGCTAGCATCAGTAGGTGGCGGCATAAGCCTAATTAAGATTTCCTCGAGAGCCAAATTGACGCCCCTACCAAGGGAATAAGAAAGCTGCCAACCTTGAGCGCAGTCTTCTTCCACGACGCTATCATGTCCTTCATTACCATGACCTGGAACTCTGCTGCTTCGTTGACTCTGGGAAATGGAACATCTGGAATATCGTGACCAAGGAATGGGCAAAGTTTGTCCCATCCAAGTTCTTCCTCGAGTTTGATCACGAGTAGCTTATCCGCTGGAATAAGCTCCTTGACAACCCTGTTGCTGGGGTAAAGTCAGCAAGGTGCTCGGAAATAACCCCATCCTTTCTCGCACTCACTGTCTCTCATAGACCTTGACGGCCTCGCGCTGAGCTTTCTGTTTGTCAGGCCCTAGATACCCCCCATAGAGAACGTAGACAAAGCTGTAGGTCAGTTTGCTGATGTAGTACGTATACGAGTCAAACAATCCGACCAGGCGAATCATGGGTGACAGCCAAAACTCGCCCAGTGGCTGAAAAGTCTTGGCCACAGACTTTCTCCACGCCTCAGGATCACGTTCAGTGAGGACAAATCTGGCGTCTGGGTAGGCTGCGACGAGGTCCTCGAGGAACCATGCGGGGATGTCTGTGATGGCATCGAAATCGCCCAGGAATTTGTCAAAGTCCCCACGGGTGAAAGGTTTGCCGATCCCTTGGGAGCTCGCACGGACTGCGTCGTTCATCATACGCACGTGGGGTACGCCATTCTTGAAGACTTCAAGCTGATGGTAGGGCTTGTAGCCGAGGATCTTGAGTGCGTAGTAGAATCCCAAAGTGGCGTTTCTATTGAGGTTCCCTTCAGCCTTGTAATTCCACTGACATGAATTCTGCTGTGTTTCAATTCTTGTTGAATTGGAAGACTACACTCACCGACCAAAGCTCAACAAGATGACTTTCATCGGTCGAGGCTGCGGGTGCACCGGCTGACGATCGATGTATCGCGACATGATCTTGTAACGCCCACGAAGATTGTTCTGGACAAAAAGTTGCCTGAGAGCTATCAGAGTCGGGGTACAAAGCCAAGACAACTTGCAAGTCGGACTGAACGAGTTTTATCCGGGCTACTACTCACCTTAGTCTAGTACGGATTTCAGGTGCCGCTGACGCC